GCATGCCAAGTGCTGGGTCCTGGAATGTAAGACAGAGCCCCGCCTCACAGAGCTCACGCTCTGAGCAGGAAGATTCCATGACTACGCAAAGACATAGATTGATGGGGTAACCAGTTGGGGCAAATAAATACAACAGCAGAGAGATGCCGCTTCAGATCTGGGGTACGGTAGAGCCGGGACCAAGCGCTAAGACGGCACACGATGAGGTGGCAGAGGCCGGTCACTCAGGCCACTTGGATTGCAGAGCTATGGAAGGGAACGGTATGACTAACATTAGGTTTAAATCATCCTGCCCAGCAGTTGTGTGGAAAAGGTTACGGCGCAGCAGGTCATAAAGCAGGGGCTGTGGGAGCCCAGCAGAACTGGGTGAGGGTCTGTCAAGAGCTGCCCGGAGGGCATGTGCAGAGCGGTCCGGGAAGTGACAAGATCAGCCCAAAGCAGATGCTGTGCGCGTGCCTGGACAGGAGCCATCAGTGCTACCCAGGTGCCAATGGAGGTGCAGCGGACTGGATGACTTTTTAACAATTTGCTGTGGAGCAAAGCAAAGGTGTGGCACAGCGGGTATGGTCAAGGGAGAGTTGATTTGGCATTGTTCGTGCTATGTCTGGCTTCTTGGGGTCACTCACTGAAGTGCCACAAGCTTGGTGGCTTTAAAACAACAGAAACCTATCAGAGGCCAGAGCCAGAAGCCTCCAGCGGATCTTGCAGGGAAGCCGTCCCTGCCCTGCTAGCCTGTGGCACCAGCACTCTGGTCTTTGGAGTTTGGAGACGATGCGCGTCTATACAGTGAGCATGGAACCGCTCTGCCAGGCCGCCCAGGGAATCCACAGAAGCCTCTCGGGAGGCTCACAGTCCACAAGGGAAGTTTCTCTCTTCTGTCCCTTTCTACTCTCCTTCCTTCCTGCTTTCTTTCTCTCCCTCTCTCATCCTTCTCCTTCATTTTTAACCATATACAAGGCATATCTTTGGAAGGGCCACTATTTAGTCAATACTATAGGGATGATCTGGTAGAGAAAGATAACGCCGAACGCTGATTAAAGGGAAAGAAGGGAGACTAAGGAGGGAGTCCTTGGGCAGGCTGGAGGGGGAGACCAGAGCTGAACATCTTTCTTCCCACTTTTTTTTTTTGGTCTTTTTCGTTTTTATTGGTACCAGGGATCAAACTCAGACCGCACACTTGCAAGGGAGGTGCTTATGCCACTGAGCTAAATCCCCAGCCCCACCCGCTTTATTTTTAAACAGGATTAAATACAAATCCTGTGGGATATGGTATGGGGTTGTTTGTCTTTACAGTACTAGGGACTGAACCCAAGGAGCACTAAAGCTCTGTTTCCAATAGTTTTTAAATTTTGAAACAAGGTCTCACTAAGTTGCTCAGGCTGGCCTGGAACCTACCATCCTCCTGCCTCCGCCTCCTGAGGAGCTGATACTACAGATGTGTGCCATCATGTCAGACACAGCTTCAAATTTTAAGTTCTGAAATAAACATTCAGAATCCCCTGACAACTTCCACCCGAAGTGGAGGCCACATTTCTAACCTAGGCACAAAGTCCTGCAGAGAAATCTTTAGTACCTACCTGTCAGACTAGGTATCTGAGCACAGCAAAAAACAAAAAAAAAACAACAAAAAAAAACAAAACCCTAGTGTGGCCATGATCAGGAAGAATGACAGGGCCAGGGTCCAAAGGCGGGACAGACAAACATGTCCCCTCAGTTCTGGGACCAGCTAGCCAAACACTTCCTGCCAACAGGCTCCTTCAGCTCCCCTGGGAAAATACCTGGCCCTCAGTGCAAAGGGAAACTGAGACCTTGGAGCAGTGCAGGGAGGGCTCCCAGGAGTGAGTCAGTCACCCCTGAGCTCAGCCGTGGGTGTGGCATGAAAGGAAACAGGATTAAATTTGGGAGGAGGAACTGGAACCCGAACCATCCACAGTGCGAAGTGACAGCCAGGGGCAGCTGTGGGCAGATGCATAGCCCGCCTCCCAGAGCCCATGTCCGCACACCGGCTTTGCCCACCCCTATCCCCACCCACTCCTGACAGCTCCCTGGGCTGAACCCTCCATCAGACCGTCCACGCACCAAATCAGAAGAAATGGACACTTCACTGAAGGCAAAGCAGTGGCCGGTGTGAGCAGTCACCCCCTTCTCAAGTCAAGCCCAAGGTTATTATTAGTTCTTTAAGTTGTGAAGCCTCCCCTCTGGGCTCCCTTTCTTCCAGTGTGATCATCTCCTTTACTCTGGTAAACACCCTGGAGCTGGCTGACGGATGGGAACCTCACACTCACAGCCTTGAGGCATGGATACTTTTGAGCCTACAGAACCACTGAACTAGAGTCAAGTCCAAGAACGGTTCCGCCCAGGCAGGAGGCGCCTAGGCCTAAAGCACACTCCCCGGAGCTCGCTCTTCTCACCATGGGCTTCAGGGAGAAACCTTTTCCTGCACAGCCACTTACTTGACTCTACCTATAGCTCCTCATCCCCTTGGAGGGCCTCAGAGCCTAGCCAGAGGTCACTCTAGTACCCAGCCTATGTCAATCAAGCAAAAGGAGCCTCAAGTCCTCAGTAATCTATGAGTGTCCCCAAACTTTGGTAAAACTAGAAGATCCTGGAACACTACTGGAACCCCATACATACTCCACCCCAAGATTCTGTTTCAGTAGAGGCCAGGCTGGGCCTTATAATCTGCATTTTCCTTGAAACACTAGTCTCAAAACTCTGGGCTCAAAAAATCCTCCTGCCTCAGTCCCTGCACATTTGGCCCTACAGGCACATGCATCTAACTCCCTGTAATTTACATTTTTAACCTGGTCACAGGGGTCGCACCTTAACATGCTGAAAAAGCTGAAGGCTGAAGGCCTGCCTCAGGTTACCAGCTCCCCGGAGGGTGCAGGGAAACCAAGGTCCCAAAGTAAAACTCCAGCCCATCAAGGAGGGCGCCGGAGTGATGGATGGGTCAGACACCCATTCCTTCCTGGGACAGGAGCTGGCAAAGCCGCTTGTGCACCTCTCCTAGACTTCTGAGCTCTGCTGGAAGATGGAGATAGAGCATGTCTCCTGGCAACCCCACTCTGAATTCTTCCAGCCCCTCACCTACATGTCACCTTCCTGCCTTGGCAAATGCAAACAGGTTAGGAGCCTGTGATTCACAGCTTTCCCTTTAAGACACTCACACCCATTTTTTTTCAAGACCCCACCCAGGACAAGACTGACCAGATTCAAACTTTTATGAATTTCCTGTTCCATCCACGTGGCAGTAACTCCCAAGTGAGCTGGGTATCTTTGAGTCTCTGCCACAGTCAAGCCCAAGGGGCTTCCCTTAGGTGGGCAACTCAGGCAGAGGCATGTGACTGCCCTGCTGCATGCAAAAAAGTCCTAAACGCCATGAGTACCACTCCAAGGGCCAAGAGTCATGGAGGAGATCCCTAAAAGTGACGGGAATGCTGAGCCACCCCCAGCCTCAGACCCCTGGGCTCTCTCACATCTGATGGGATGCATGAAGCTTCCTGGTCAGGTGTCCAGGGCAACAGCACACACAGAACAGCCCAGATAAAACCTCAGGCCCACAGCCCGCCCTGAAGGAGGTTCCTGTTCCTGTTCTGGTTCCGTTGGGACCAGGCTTAACATATCTCGTACTAAAAAGGCTTCTGGGAACATTCTCCTGCTCAATTCACACAAATCCATTTCCCTTCCAGTCGCCAGTTTACTGCAGGCAGGATCCTCAACCAAAAAGCAGAGCTTTGCTCCCTTTCTCAAACTTGGTGCCACATAGCCCTCGGAGACAGCCTGAGGGCACCGATGAGAACACAGTGCCACCCCAGCTCTGACACTCGTAACTGAGGCACCATCCTGAGCAAGAGTCCCGTCTCATGGGCCACCAGCCCCTCGTCCACAAGATGCAGGTAACAGCATCTGCCCTCTGGAATTACTGTAAGAATTAAAGGCTAAACATTTAAACAAATAGCCCTACAGGTAGCTGGCAATAAATGAAATCCCTTCCCACTCTTGTAACTTAAGTTTCCGTGTCTCAGCTTCAAATCTAAAAAGATCCTAAACTGACCTCAGAAATGCCAAAAGGACCCAGACACTAAAGACAAAGAATAAATATTTTCAACAAACCTTAAACTTTGAATTTACCAGCTACATAGGGAGATCCACTCCCCTCCTAACTGGCTCCTGAATTCTATGTCTCTTCAGTGCGGGAAAAGGGAGAGTTGCTCTAAGCAATCAAAGAGAGCAGACAGGTTCGCCCTCGTTTTTCCGAAGCCCTGGCGGCCTTGCAAACAGGGTTACACAAAAGAAAGAAGGCTCTAAGGCTGCTCGTTAGTATTTGCTGAACCAGTAGCTCTGCAACTCTTACAAAGTATTCAGAGGTGATTTGAGTCACCGTTAAACCTGCAGGGGCCTGTGTCCACAGCATTCCCCCCAAATTTTCTGACACTGTCCCCTCGGCTCTGCCTGGCTGCCTCATTTTGCTTCAGGCACGTTCTGCAGTGAAGCTAGGACTTAAACAGTGTCCACTCAAAAAGCGCAAATTCCCAACGTCCAACGTAGCATGCCTCTGGCAGAAGCCTCCCCGGTCCCCAGATCCATCGGGCCGCGTCTGGATACGGTGCCCCGCCGTACGGCGGCCGCTCTCGGACCCCATCGCAGGACAGCGAGGGACCAGGGACGGGGAAACCGCCTTCGCCGCAGCAGTGGCGTCACGACCACCCCCTCCAGCTCCCCCGCTCCCCAGGGGTCGCCACATCGATAGCTGAAGCTCCCGGAAGCCCTAGACCTGTCCCGACGCAGGTCCCGTTGGAGGAACCCGCTATGTAGCGCGCCCGCGAGGACGGAGACTCGCGGGTCGTGCTCCGAGGCACGGAGGGGTCTCAGCGCGGGCAGGGGCTCCGGCGGGGACCGACACCCTCCAGGCTGGGAACCACGGCTCCGCGCACCCGGCCGCCCCCACCCCGGCCCAGCTGGGGCCCTGGGTTTGGCCGGGCGCCCATGCGCCTCACCTGAGCGGGACGCCGATGGCCAGGTACCTGTCCACCGCCACGGCTAAGAGGCTGAAGATGGAGCTCTGCGTGAGCACCAGCACGAAGCAGGCGAGGAAGAGGCAGCTGTGGAAGTCCGTGCAGAAGCCCAGGCTGATGGTGATGGCAAAGGGGATGGCGAACAGCCCCACGGCCACGTCGGCCGCAGCCAAGGACACCAGGAAGTAGTTGGTGGGCGTCTGTAGCGCGCTCGACGAGCCCACCGCCGCGCACACCAGCACGTTGCCGGTCACCGACAGCACAGCGATGGCCAGCTCCAGCGCCACGTAGAGCGCGTCCTCGGTCTCCAGCGGCATGGCCGGGCCAGCCGGGCCCCGGTGTCACCCACTAGCCTCGCGCCGGACGCGGGACAGCCCCGCCAAGCATGGCCGGAGACCCGCAGCGCGCCTCGGCCAGCGGCGTCTGGGCAGCCCGGCTCGCGCGCTCGGGCCCCGGGCCCCGGGGGGCAGGGCCGCGGGCGGGCGGCGGCGCTCATTGGCCCTCGCGCCTGCCCGTCCCCCGCAGCGCCACCCCTGGCCCGAGCCGGGCCGCTCCGGGTCCGCCAAACTCTCCAACTTTCCCGGCTCGGAAGAGGGCGGCGGAGTCCCCAGCCGTCGGCTGTGCGCTGCTGCTGGGGTAGGGACCCCGGGCGCCCGACAGCCCCGGGGTGTGGGAGCAAGAGACACAGGTGGGGAAGGGGCTTGCTCGCCACCCCACGCCACGCCACGCCTGGCGGGGCGCGCGAGATCCTGAAGCCCTCGTGAGGAGCAGAACCCGCCCTGCGAGCGCGCGGAGACGCCGCGGGCGGAGGGAAGCAGCGGCCCCCGCAGGCTCTGTGCACCCGGCCGGCCTCGGCCGCTGGTTCCCACCTGCGCTGCCCGCCAGGCCCCGATCCTCGCCGCTGCCGGTCTGCGCCTTCTCAAAGCATTGTGCCAAACCCAACCTCCTCTACCTCCCCAGAATAGCCAGTGCCCCCGGGTCCTCTTTATTTTAACTGTTTTTTGTTTGTTTGGAAGTAGTGTCAATATGTGACCAAGGCTGGCCTGGAATTCGCAGTCACGCACCACTACTCCGGGCCTACCCAACCCTGTCCTTCCTCTTGAGTGCCAGATCTGCTGCTCACTGTAGGCCTTGCCAGAGACGGCCTCAGGCTCCCAAATGCACCCGACCAAAATCAGGTTCCTTCAATCCCCGGGGGAAAGCTGTGCGTGGGGTTCCGTGATTAATTGCCTGTTCACCCACCCCAGGTGGTGAGAAGCACTTGTCTCCACCCTCCCTCACCTCCAGATGACCAGCAGAGCCTCTTATCCTTGTTTCTTTTTTTGTTTGTTTGTTTTGGTCTTTTTCGTTTTTATCTGTACCGCGGATCGAACTCACGACTGCCTGCTTCCAAGGCAGGCGCTTATGCCGCTGAGCTAAACCTCCAGCCCCTATTCTTGCTTCTTTCACCCCTGAGGTCGTGCTCCAGGTCCAGGCTCAGGCCTGTTCCCCTGTTCCTCCCACTTTGTGCCTCCTCCTTCCTCTGTCAGCTGGTGCTGTCCTCACCAACGCCTTAAGTGTTTCTGAACACCCTTACCTGTGCCATTCACTCACCTGAAAGTCACCGCCGGCAATCACCAGGCAGGATGGTTACGATTATCTGGCAACAGCAAGACAGTTTAATAATGTTGACCAAAAGCAAAACAAGGATGATTGCTAATGGGTACAGGATTTATTTGGGGGGACATAATGATTTATTTGGGGGGATATGCTAAATGGGGCAGTGATTGCACTGTTCTATGAATATACCAGAAAAAAAAAGCATTGTGTTGCACTCTTTAAATGGATGAATTGTAGAGTATCTAAGTTATATTTCAGTGCATTTGAAGTAGTAACAACGTAGCCCATTCTGCCCTCAGCAGGTCTGAACAGTACTACCTACCCAAGTAAAAACCAGGACAACTTCAGCTGCATGCATGATAAACTCGGATCTCAGAGAGATCAAGCACTGTATCTTGGCCAAGAGCAATTCCTTGGAGTGGAACCGGGAAGAATCTCCCTAGGGTGGAGCTTTTGTAGAGTGGGCAAGACCTGGTGGTAGGAAGGGGTGGTGCAGAGGTGTGGGATGGGACGCCCATGCAGGGTAAACTGGGGCAAACGGCTTGCTCAAGAACAGCAATGTCCAGGGAAGTAAAGGATGGCTGGTCGGGGGCTGCTCTGACTGCCAGGATGGGGTGCTGGTCATTCTGCTGCAGGTGCTGGCCGCCAGTCCTAGATCTCTGAGTGAGGCATGCTAATGGAAACAGCTGGCAGACGCACTGGACCATTAGCAGAGGGAGAGGTGCTGGACAGAGGGAGAAGGTGCTGGACAGAGGGAGAAGGTGCTGGACAGAAGCTGACTGTTTGCTGTGAGTGGTTACTGCACACACTGTAGCCTCCAGGCCTTGGGCTCAGCTCCAGCATTTTCTGTGACCAGAATCCCCAGTTGCCTTTTCCAGAGCCCAACCTTCTTAAGGAAATCATCCCATGATCGAAGTATGAAGGGTCTCCTAGAGCAGACGTGCACTTTACGGTGCAGTGTAAGTTCTATGTCACCAGTGTCACCCACCAGCAGAGCTTCAGCCTCTCAGCAGGTCCCCACCACAGCCAAGTCTAACACGGTGCCCTTTGTTAAGCACAACTACTCTCCCTCCCCACAAGGTTCAGGTGAACTATATTGTATTTCCTGATTCTATCAACCTGGGTCTCGAACTCAAGCTAGGATTTGATTGGCTTTGTTCTGTTTTATTTTGCTTGGTTTTATTCACTGTAAAATAAAATCAAAATAAATTTTTAAAAAGACTTAGACAATGAAAACTATAAATGTCATTGACAGAAATTAAGGAAGACCTAAATAATTGGAAAAACATTCCAGGTTTCAGGACTAGAAAACTTAATTAGGGGCCAGGGATTTAACTCAGTGGCATAAGCACCTGCCTGGCAAGCTCAAGGTTTTGAGTTTGATCCCTGGTACAAAAAAAAAAAATTAAGATAACAATACTACCAGATAGACCCACAGAAATTTTGAAATATTTTTCAGAAATGTTTTGGCTTCTTTGCAGAAACTGCTAAATTAATTCTAGAACTTATATGTCAATGCAATAAACTTAGAGTGGCCAAAAAAATCTTGAAAAATAGAAATGTTTGCTAGACAAACATTTCTTGATTTCAAAACTATGTAAAGCTACAGAAATCAAGATACTGTGACTTTGGCATAAAAACATACATAAATACGAATGGAATAAAATTGAGAGTCCAAAAATAAACTCTTACACAAATGGTCAAATGATATTTGACAAAGGTCCCTTAACACTTTTATGGGGGTGGGGACAGCCTTTTCAACATACATTGTTGAGACAACTAGGTCTCTGTGTCAAAAAGAAGAAGAGGAGGAAGGGGAGGAGGGGGAGGAAGAGGATCCCTACCTCACATCATATGGAAAAATGAACTTAAAAATGGATTTTAAAAATCCACATATAAGATTTAAAACTATAAAACTCTTAAAAGAAAATACAGGTAGCAATCTTTGTGAGCTTATGTTAGGAAACAATTCCTTAGTTATGACCCTGAAAACCCAATGAATCAAATAAAAAACATATTGGACTTCATCAAAATTTAAAAATTTGCATACAATGAAAAATATTATCAAAAGAAAGAAAAGACAGTCCACAAAAATGACAGAAAATGTTTGCAAATCATACATCTGATAATCTAGTATCCAGACCACTTTAACAAATGTTACAACTCAATAATAAGACAATCTGAGTTTTTAAATGGGCAAAGAATTTGAGTGTACATTTCTTTAAAGAAGACATATAAAAACAAGTCAGAGTTAGGCTTGGACCCTGCAGAGAGAAGTGACGTATCAGGCTGACGATGACTGGGTACTTTCACGGTCACCACACCTACCTGGTCAGTGGCGAAGCTGGGATATAAGTCAGGTGGATTTCAGCTGCCTTTGCTAGTGATGCCCACACTATCCCTGTACTGGGGCTACCTGCTGTTTCTAACCAGTGTTGATTTAATTTTAAAATATCGCATCCCACGTCAACCAGGAGTCCTGGGGAGGAATGAAGGTCCCAGCCTTCTGGAATACAAATGACCTCTAATACTGACCCTTTATAGAGGCTGGTGGTTGCAAGTGTCCCAGCTGAGGTAACACAGAGATTGAATTTGGATTCCTAGCCATCCTTCCCTGCTCTGAGATTGTGCAGAACTCTGTATATGCTGCTCTGTGTCTGCCCCAACATGTCTAATCCAACAGCCTTTCCTTCAACACATAGGGGACAAGAAAAGAGGCGCCCCCGATCAGTGGACCTGAGGGTCACCATCCAGGCCAACAGCAGGATCGAGGCTCTTTTCTGCCAGCTGTGAGTCTTCTGCCCACCCGGTCTCCTCCAGAAACCTTGATTTCCACCAGATGCTTTAGCTGTAAGTGATTGTCAAACCAGCTCTAGAGACTTCTTTGGTTCCTTCATTTGAAATGCTGCCCTCACTCCATCAGAAACCTCAGGTGGAAAATGTAATTTTTCAGCAGTGAGGGGCAAAAAAACACATTAGCTGAAGAAGCAGGAGTCATAAAGAGATTTTTAGAATCCATTAATCAGCTCTGACCACATATTGAATAATTTATTTTCATTTATAACCTTTATTTCATTGTTCCCAGGAGAAATATTAGACATTACCTCTGGCCCACTGCGCAGATTGGCTACTACCACAAATGAGGAGCTTGAGGAGGCACCACCGTGGCTCTCTGAGAGTAATCTTTCTTCCCTGCTTGCTAATGGAACCCCAGAGTTGTTTCTGGAATTGCCAGTAATACCAGTGCGGCCACCCTAGGGGATGAGTTATGACCAATTCAGGACAATCAGATAATCTCTTTTCCCTTTGCCAGTGACTGGTTTAAGGCAGTGATGGTGAACCTTTTAGAGCCTTCAATATAAATACAGGCCTCTGTGACACATGTGCCCCAACTCTCATCTAAAGATGGGCACGTAAATAATCCTAGCCAGTGGGACGTATGGAGAATTCTGCTGCAAGTTTCGGATCTCCTTCTTTGCTTTGTGTGAAAACATGGTACCCAAAGCCACGGCAGCCATTTTGAAACTATAAACTGACAGGTATCATCTGAAAACCAACACACTGAAAGGGATGGGGAGGGGCTGGGGATTTAGCTCAATGTTGGGGATAAGCCGGTGTTGGTCATATTTTGTAGGACTTGTAATAAAGCATCCTGCAGGATTCCTGGGGTCATAAATGTTTGGGGTCAAGGAAATCTTGGCCCCACATATTCAGGTGGAAGATCACATGACTGTGTTGGGATTGAAAAAATGATACCTCAAAGACTGGCACTTGGACCTGCCGAGGAGCCTCAGAAGCCACCGCACAGCCAGGGCCCCTCCGGCTGTCCCTTCTGTCCCCTCCTTCCAGTG